CAGAATTCCCCAGCCAGCCATGCTGGCTGGGGAATTCTGGGAGTTGAAGTCCGCCCATCTTCAAGTTGCCAAAGTTGAGAAACACTGATCTAGAACTATAAACCTGGAAGTCATCCTGTCCAGTCAGGGCCATCTAGGGAGGGGAAGTCCCAACAGTCAAGATGATGGCTGCAAGCATGCAATTGAATGCAACATATGTAAAAAAAAAAGGTTGTGCTTTGGTTGTGAATGCCATCTTGACTTTTTCAACGCCCCTGAGTCTAACCCTATGCTTTGTGGATGAATTGCCACCATAACAACCCTGAAAGAGGGTTAAATGGACTGTGATTTCCTCCAGGCAAAAAAGGACCCCATTACCATCCCACGGCCAAGGAGCGTTTTGCAACAGGAAGCCTCCTCCTCTGATGTTTAACTAATTGCCCCCCTTTGGTCTACTTCTTCCCTTTGAGTAACGGAGAAGAAGTGTGCTCCATCTTTGAGTTGACGGAGCAGATACTTGTTGACTACTCTCCTATCTCCTCTGAACTTTGCATATTGGTGACTGCTAGATAAGAACTATGGACCTTGTTTATGCACCAGGTCATCGCACACAATGGACTCTGGAGTCCTTGGTGCTATTGGAGTCTATTGGAGTCATGGAATCATAGAATCATAAGGTTGGAAGGACCTTGGAGGACTTCTAGCCCAACCCTCTGCCCAAGGCAGGAGTCCTCATACCATCTCGGACAAATGGTTGTCCAATCTTTTCTTGAAAACCTCCAGTGATGGAGCACCCACAACTCCAAGGGGCAAGTTGTTCCACTGCTGAATAGTTCTCACTGTCAGAAGTTCCTCCTTATTTCCAGGTTGGATCTCCCTCTGATGAGCTTCCACCCATGGCTTTTTGTCCTACCCTCAGGTGCTATGGAGAATCAATTGATGCCCTCTTCCCTGGGGCAGCCCTTCAAGTACCAGAAGACGGCTATCCTTTTTTCCCCTCAGTCTTCTCTTGGTTAAGCTAAACATACCTAGTTCCTTTAGCCGTTCCTCATAGGACTTAGTCTCCAGACCCCTTATCATCTTTGTTGCTCTTCTCTGTACATGGGAACAATAGTCTGTCTTTGGTCACCTGAGGACCAGGACCAGGAGGACTTGGAGTAGCTGTCCTGAACATCATTCATTGCTCACCAGCATTACCAAATGGTGCAAGAAGTGAGCTCTTCACTAATTACCCTCTTGGAGTCTCATCCATACAAGAACATCTGCTGGGGCCAACAGTTTGGTGATCTCCAACTCAGTAGTGAGAGAGTTAGGCAAAAGGCAAGCCAAGCCGCTCTCGTCTGACTTACGGATTCCAAGGTATGGTAGGTACCATAGTTAAAATTCCTGCAGCCACGTTCCCTTTGTCGATTCAGGTGCATCTCCCGAGATTCTTCATCCACCAGGGCCTAAAAGAAGAACATGGATCACAAAGGGGATGGCACCCTCTCTTTCAGGGGTCTGAACCTGAGAAAGAAGCTCCAGCTATAGTTGGCAAAAGAGGGAAAAATAAATCTAGGTGTGGACTACGTAGGAGCAATCTGGAGTTTAAAAGATCTGCAGTGTTGGGAGATTGGAAAGAGGCACTGAAGGTCAGCGCGGGTTCCTTCATTTGATTGGAAACGTTTCTGGGAGCGGAACGTCTTTTTGAAAGCACCGAAGGAAGAGCAGGAGGAAAAAGTGAACGGTGGTGTTTTTCATAGGTTTTGTGCACTGTAGAGCTCTGGAGCATTGATGGTCCTTGAATGTGGCCGGCCAGTTGTGTGTATGCAGGATTAAACTTCTGACATGCTAGTTTGCATCCAGAAGGAAGCTGTTCCCATGAAAATTATTATTATTATTGCAAGATCCTGCACAGTGGCTTCAACACGTAAAGAATTGTCTGTCCGGTTAAAACAACACATACCTGGAAATTCCTCGCACCCATGGGCCATTTTGAAGAGCACAAAGTCAATGGCCAATCTATTCTGTAAGATTGCTGTCCTTAATTGCTCCTGCTCTTCATCTAGGAGAGCTGTAGCATTTGAAGACTTGTTGATGCTTTTTAGAACTAAACAGGCCAGTTTTCTGAGATCCAGGTAAGCAGGGCTTGCTAGACCTGGTGTTCCACTTAGGGATACAGCAGGCCCCTAAACATCTCTGGTGTCCAACAGCCCTATGTGGTCATCACAGGTGCTGTCAAGCAGGGGGCCCTCTGTACGATGTCAGTGCATCGCCTGGGCTTGTAATGAGCGTAATTTTGAACAAGTGGTGCTGCGTGAAATGAAGTTAAACGCCCAACTGCGCAGGGATCTCCCGAGGAATGTGCTGGGAAGTATGAAAAGGCATAGTTTCCACACAGTAGATACCAACCCTTTGGTAACTAGCGGGGAACTCTTACAGAGTTAAGCTGCATTACCTCTGAGCATTTTTCAAGAGCTGGCAGGGAAAGGCACGTCTCTTTGTCTTCACAGCCAACCACTTGCACACCCCTGACTCTTTTTGCATCCAGGAGCTTTCCCAGATCTTCTGGAATGGCACCAAGCATGCCACCCGCTATTGGCACCGCTTTGACTTTCTTGCATCACATACTATGCTCGATCTCTGTTTGGAGTTTATTTTATTGATTGATTGGTTTAATAAATGTATATGGCCGCCCATCTCATATACCTGACTCTGGGCGGCTCACAATCAAAAATGAAATAAAAACGGGATAAAAACAGCCCGGATTTTAAAAACCACATCAATAACATAAAACAGCAGCCAAGAACACGGCTAATATCTCACATTCATTCCATCCATGAAATGGGTTTACCCGTAATAACATTGTTGTTCTTATTTCCCCCTCTTTCCCTGGGTCAGACTATGAGTGACCGTTCCCAACAGCCCTTGTTATTCTTGGGAATTCTCTCCCACCCTAACAAGATAACAAGACCTTGTAAAAATGCATTTTACACACGCACAACAGCTGCGCTGGCATTCCAGGCATGAGTAAAAATTCACACACAGAAGACCACACCACATCCTACTCTAACCAAATTAAGTGCCCAAACTTGCAGATTCATGAAACTCTTTATCGCAGATGATGAAATCTGGCCTGCATTTATCAACCGTGTAGGCGTCAAGGGCCCTTCTCTCTTTGCGTTATCCGAAGATTATGATCCCTGTCCAGGGTGGGGAACTGGACCACAGGCCAGAAAGGACCGGCTGGACCTCCCCATTCGACCTGTCTGGGCCCGTTCCTCTCAGGCACAAATCTGGCTCTCTTCTCTGTTCATCTTCCTTGCCTAATTATAATTATCACTGGCATTACATTTGCCAGTATTGCTCTTTCAGTGCAATTCCCATAATCCACTGAATTGGACAGGAGACAAGCGTTGTCACAAAGAAATATCTTGCCTTTCTGCCCCTTGGGCCGATAATTCCAAATAAACTGCAATATAATTAGAAGCCAAAGTAAAAAAAGAGAAAGAGAAAGTCAGACCTGTTCATAATGCAGCCTGCTTGCTTTAGTGGTCTTCAGCGGAGTTAAGCCAAAGCTATTTCCCCATCAAAATCGGAGGAAGGAAAAACATATACTGTACAAGAAACTGCAAACCTGAGGATAATGCCAGGCTTGCAGAAAAACCATGTTTTTCATGTCAAGATGGTGTCTGCAACTACACAATCAGAGCCCTATGTCCTGTTACATGCTCTGCACACATAAAAAAGGTGTGAGACTTCATACACGTGCCTGTTGCAGCTCCATCTTGAATTTTTTTGATCCCTTCCTGGAGGCAGCCTTAGTTCCCGCAACATGCTTGGCTAACCTAAAATGTGGTTCAGCGTGTTTTGGGAAGTCTGCTTTTGCCTTGGCTTGTTTAATGCTTTGGACCATCTTGATTAGACCCTGGATGGGTTAGCTGCTGGGGCTTTGCGTGCTGCAGAACACAGCGCCTGATTTCACACTGCTGGATTTGTGTGAATGCATGGACAGAGGACGGGTACGTTGACTGTTGCAGGGCGAGGAGGGAGGAGGAAGAGAGAAGGGAACATGGAAGGAGGGGGAAACACAGCATGATCATCCCACTGAATCAGATTTTTCATGGATGCTCTTCCTTCAGCACCGTGCCTCTGGCTGCTTCTGATTCAGAGGGACAGGAACCTTCCCAGAACAACGGAGCTGGAAGGAATGTTTGCTTTCGCAACAATCAGATTTGCTCACGTTCTTCATCCTTGACTGTGGCTGACTTTGGGCCGGCCACTCTCGCCCAGCCTAGCCTACGAATCTGGTGTAGTTTGTGGCCATGGGAAAAATTAGAAGGGGGGATGCTGCGTGCACCACCTTGACTATCTGGAGGAATGTGGGGTAGGTCCCTCCCAGATCCATAGATAAACCAATTCTCACCATAATCCCCCCAATGCCCAGACTTGAGCATGACAGTTATTGGGGTTGTTAGGAAGAGGGGTGGGGGTGGGACGTTTTGCCCAAATACGATGCACGGAGAAGACTTTCGTACAGTAAACCCACTCGTTGATTTTTCCCTTCCGCCGTACCTGCACATCTTCTATCAGGACGGAGTACTTGATCTGGTGCAACTCCAAGAAGACTTTGACAGCCTGGAGACAAGCAAAGGGTACCTGGACGTCTGCGGGTTCGTTGGGGTGCGAAGGAGACCGCCAGAAATTAAGCTGGCAAGAAGAAAAACAGAATGAAGCCAGTGAGGGGAGAAGCACAATGCGTCTCCAAGCGTGCATTAAAAAAGAGAGATTGCTTTTCCCTGTTTTTTGAGGACAAGGGCTATTGGCTTTCCCACCCCACCCCAGAATAGGAGCAGCAAATTCTGTTTCCAGGGGCATCCCCAGAGAGAGGTCAAAAAAGGCAAGAAGGTGGCCATAACCATGGGATGGAAGACCTGCAGGACCACCTTGACTCTTTTGACTGCTCTGTGAATGCCCCTGTTTGCTTTTCTTCTATCTGTTCCAAGGCTTATCTCAGTGTTTCTCAACCGTGGCCACTTTAAGATGTGGGGACTTCAACTCCCAGAATCCCCATGGCTGGCTGGGGAATTCTAGGAGTTGAAGTCCCCACATCTTAAAGTGGCCACGGTTGAGAAACACTGATTTATCTTCTCACCTCCCAAACCATGGCACTAGTTGATAACAGTTTTCTTCTGTCATTTGGCCATCTCCCCACCCCCACCATCCTCCCCAGCCCACAACAGAAGCAGCTTTAGGTCATCTTTATCTGCTCCATCTTAAGGAGGGTTTTCCCTCTTCTCCTGGCAGAGGAACAGTCTGGAGCTGGTCTAGGATGCTGGGGTGATCTGCTTGCTGACCCAGCTAAGGGTGGGGTCTGCCCAGCTCTTATTGGCTGCTTTAAGCCCCTACCCTCCAGCCCCTCTCCTCCAGCCCCTGGTCACCACCCTTCATGGCCATCTTGGCTTCAGCCCCGGGAGAAAACAGCCACTGACTTCCACCGAGACTAGAAATGCTTGTCAAGTCTGACGCAACTCCTGTAGGGACTCTCAGCCCCACTAGGTAGGCCAGACCAGGAAATCCACCCCACTGGAAGGCTAAAACTACTTTTTCTTGAGCTTTGCTATAAGAACTGCATCTTGGAAGTCTGATTGTGCTGGACCTCCTCTCCCCCCCCGCCCCCTTATACTCCTGTGAATTAGGGAGGTGTCTGCCTCAGCCGCTTCCCAATGTTATCCGGATATTATGGGCTTAAAAATGGCTTCAGCCCCTTTGGCCTAGTGAACGGTCCCTGCGTTTTTCCATCAGGGTCATCCTCCTTGACCTCTACAGTACACAGGCATCAAATTCTTTTGGAACAACAGATCTATGCTCTCTTGCGCTGCACAGGAGTTTCATTTCAGCCGGGAAAAGAGAGCTGTCTTCTGCCAGCCAGGTATGGCTGTCTCTGTTGCCATGGGGGGCATTCCTGATTTCCCAGTGCTTCTGCCAGGAAACATTTTTGCACAGTGCCTTTTTATTGCGTTAGTGGGGGGCAGCACCACTATGCCCGCTCCACAGGTACTTGCTGCCAGCAGCCCCTTTCTCTTGGGAGAACATGAGGTGAGGAGGGAGCTCATGAAATATTGCTCACTTCCTCCTGCTTTTCCACGTCCAGACTCCTGTTCCACGTCTGCAACCTGCCAGCCCACTTATTTTTGGATGCAGAATGAGTGCTCATCCAGGAGACCACTAGCCCAACCGGTAGTTAGAAGGCCCACACCTCCACCCTCACGGCCTGTTAGTCAGGCAATCTGGCAGGTAGTTAAACCAGCTGTTCTGTACACCAACCTACACTTCACCCCATCCTGGGACAGTTCAAATCCTAAGAGTGTGTGGATCACTTACTGTCAGAATGATCGATTCAATCTGACAGTTCAAATCAACTCACTTCCACTTTTCCAACCAACTGTGCAAAAATCTTCCTGAACTGTCAGCTTGATTCAGAGGTTTCTGATTTGGGCATTCACCCAATTCAGAAATGGTTGATTTGGTTCCAAGTTTCAGCTAAATCGCCTTTGAAGTGAATCTTCAAAGCTCTGCTCTATCAGAGATGGGCATTTGAACACAATGTGTTTTGCAGCCCAGTGTTTCCAGCAGAAGCTGACTTTCTCCATGCAACCATCACTCAGTCTGACAACTCTCTCTACAGAAGAGTGGACAGGCTTCTGTTGGGGTATCTTGAACGCCAGACAAGTTGGAGTCCTTCTATGCTTCTTTCTGCCTCTCTGGAAGAAGAGGAAGACACTGCCAGGGAATGCAAAGCCAGAGGATCTTCAGACATGAAGCACTTTATCCATTTGCAATTACAAACTAGCTTTGCATAGAGGAGCCTATGCCAAAAAACAGGGCATCATAAATAACCAAATATATACGCAATGATGATGTTGATGATGAGTCATCAAGTTGGTATTGACACTTAGCAACCAGGTAGAGAGATTTTCTCCAGGAGGATCTGTCCCCAACCTGGTCCTTCAGGTCTTCCAAAGGCGTACCCATGGCCACTGTAACTGAGTCCCTCCACCTGGCTGCTGGTCATCCTCTTCTTCTCTTTCCTTCCACCATTCCACTTCTCAAGAGAGCTGGGTCTTCATGTTCACTGGTTGATTGATGACTGCATCAATTGTCGAGTCTTAGTGACCACAGAGATAGATTTTCTCCAGGAGGATCTGTCCCCAGCCTGGTCCTTCAAGTCTTCCAATGGCACACCCATCGCTGCTCTGAGCCCATCCCCCTGGCTGCTGGCCATCCTCTTCTTCTCTTTCCTTCCACCTTTCCCAGCATTATAGACTTCTCCAAATATATAAGCAAAGCACGTCCTAAATGAACGTTGGTGCAGATCTGTGGGACCTTGTGCAACATGTTAATAACCAATTAGGTAAAATATAGGCTTCTGAAAAAAGTGGCCAGCCAGCTTCCAAACCACTAATTCCCATTTCCCTGTACAAATTGATTGTTACCTGGAGAGGTTTTAGGCCTTCCAGCTCTTTCAGCAAATCAATTTGTTCGTCATTGCATGGCTCTACTCGGAGAACCTGGTCCCTAGAACAGCCAAAATCAAAATAATAGCATTAGTTGTTTGCCCAGTTTTGCCCAGTTTGCTGTGTCTTCAGGATTCATTCACCCATGACACTGGGTGTTTCCCTTTAGAAGGGAAATCCAACCGGTGGTAGGCGTTGTTTGGATAATTATGATATGAGCAAAGCGGGTGGACCATTTGCAGATGTATTAAAAGGCCAGAGATGGGGAAAGATGGTGTGTGGGGAAGAAACTAGGTGCCATGGTTAAGAATGGTCAAAGGAGTTTCCGCAAGACTGTTAAAAAAATCAAGTTGAGGGTGGGACTGTGTGATTGAAACCCCCACCCCTTTTTGATGTGTGTGAAAATGCATAAAAAGGGGTGAGGCCCCAATCATACGGTCAATTCCATGTCGTGATTTTTGGACACACATATGTACATACGTCCCTATGGATGCCCCTAAATGATCAATTGGATATGCTGGCCACATTTCCTTATTTAGGAAATATTATCAATGTTTGCACTTTTGAAACATCTGAGACAGTGTTTCTCAACCTTGGCCACTTGAAGACGGGTGGACTTCAACTCCCAGAATTCCCCAGCCAGCCATGCTGGCTGGGGAGTTGAAGTCCACCCGTCTTCAAGTGGCCAAGGTTGAGAAACACTGATCTGAGACATTTCAGGTTAAGCCAGTGCAATTTTTCTGGTTATATTTTGAGCCTCAGGAAGTGGGAGGAAATGGTCTCAGCCAGGACATGACAACTGGAGGGAGAAGGAGAGAAAATCAATAACCTTTTTCTTATCAATTTTAAAAGGCTGTTTGCAAATTCATCAGAACGAGGTTACCCTCCCTCCTGTACGAACACCTAAACATATGTCCATTCCGAAGCGCTAGAATATCCCCACCTTTAATGGCATAGTTTAACGGTCAAGCGAGAGCGATGAGGCGGGCAAGGATGCCCCCAGGGTGCAGTCAAAAAAGTCAAGATGGCAGCTGCAACAAGGCAATCAAAGCTCCACCTGGAGCTTATGTACAACACACACAACACCCATAAAAGACAGGTGGGGCTTTGATTGGGCAATCATGGCCAACATGTTGCCTTCTTGGATCACACTCTGTAGACACACACACACCCCCCGTGCTGGGGAATCTCAGATTTAGATGGTTAAATCATCCATAAATCCCAAAGCAATTCAGGACAGATTCTACCTTAAAACTCTTGCATGCAATAGAGGAAAAGTGCGTCAAACTAACTTACAGGATTCTTGCAAGATGATAATGTCATCTATCAGGATGAAGAAAGCAGGTCTTCTCTGCCACAGACCCTGCCCTCTGGAACAGCAGCCCCCTGAGTTCATGTGGCCCTGATGATGTCCACAAACCCACTGAAAACCTGCCTGTTCTCCTATGCCCTGGGGCAGAGAGAGTGCCAGACTCCTGTAGGATTTTTCATCTGTTATAGATTGTTTTCCTCTAGGCGCCTGTGAGCTACGCTCTTTAATTATTGCTTCTTGCTTTTAAAGTTCTCAGCCACCCAGAGTCTTGTGGAGCTGGGCAGCCCCTAAATTATAACATTCAATTCAATTAAAATTAATCAGAACAAAGGGACACGTAATAAAACCCTCTATAGAGGCTAGTCACCGCTATGTCCTATTCTGTGTCTAAACATCCCATAGGAAAGGCTTATAACCACTGTTCCTTTTAAGAATGTATGCATCCTTTTGGAGCAAAGTAACATATTTCCACACAGCAGAGCCCCAGATATGAACATTATCCCTTTCAGGGCAGCTAGCTTGAAATGGTGATTGTTGACCAAATACATCCGTAGGATGGAGAAGGTTGCTGGTCTGAGAGCATGGAGGCACCTTTGCAATCGAATGCTTTTCTCAGAAGTGGTGACCATGGCAATCGGTTGCAACCCCAGGTAGATTGGAAATGGGGGAGATACCTTTTACTCAACGCATAAGGAAGAGACACACCTCAGGATCCAGGGGCTCAACCTGTAGGGGTGGGGAGTAACGGCTGGCTGCCCAAAAGCCAGGAAGGGAGGCGACGTCAAGCCACAGTTCACAAAACTGCACTGATTCAGAGAAAAGGCAAGCAAAAGGTGGCTTCCCATAAACCAGAGCCAGGAATAAATGGATTTCTTCCAAAATTCAGAGGACATCGTGAATACAACGGGTTGACCGCCAAGAGTGGGTCAAAGCTTTCCCGGAAGGACTGCACGTCACATGAAACCAAGGTTGACTTAACTGTGTTTTACTGAATAAGTCACCATCGGCTGAGTCCACGCCACACACTACAGTAATCCACAAACAAGCAAACCACGTTATGGTTTAGTATGATGTAGGAACCCAGCCAGCCTACCACAATGTGGGGGAACCCCCCATCTCCGCAGCCTCACTCTCCCAACCACCTGCACACGCG